CATCCCACTATCTACTGCTCCCATGTGACCTAAAGGGCATTTTAATGATGCCCTTTGTGCCAGATGTGAGATTCAGAGTAACAGCCGTGCTAGTCTGTATCCGCAAAAAGAAGAACAGGAGTACTTGTGGCACCTTAGAGACTAACAAATTTATTAGAGCATAAGCTTTCGTGGACTACAGCCCACTTCTTCGGATGCATATAGAATGGAACATATAATGAGGAGATATATATACACACATACAGAGAGTATGTATGTGTGTATATATATCTCCTCATTATATGTTCCATTCTATATGCATCCGAAGAAGTGGGCTGTAGTCCACGAAAGCTTATGCTCTAATAAATTTGTTAGTCTCTTAGATAGTTATAGCTCCCTAATCATGTTTACTTTCCAACACAAAACCTAGGGGGTGGGAGGGCAACGCAGATCTGAAAGTTCAGAGAAGACTGAATTTTTAAAAGTTGCCCTGGTATTGCTTAAGAGCCTTATTCTGCAAATAATCCAACTGGAATGAATGTGACTAGTTGTGTAGCAAGGTATTTAATGTGAACAAAGGTGGCAGAATTGGGTCTTAAGTCTGGTTTATTAGACTTAATCGCTAAAAGATAAATCAGCTAAAAGTTAGTGATCCTATTACAGCACTCGCTCTATATCTTGTTGAATATGGGTAGTGAGGTTTTAGCCTGGTTCAAATTTCTTAAAAGAAGTATATCTATGGGGAGAGAATAACATTGTCAGGATGGGGTAGTTTTTAAAATAGCCTGAAATGGGTCTCAGATCCTTTGTGTGCTACCGCAGTATCAATATGTAGAAATTAATGCATTGCTCTGACAGCTGTTGCCCTTTTCCAGCAGCTCAAGTGATACTAAAAGGGGTCTGCAGAAAAGGACCTAGGGGTCACAGTGGACAAGAAGCTGGATATGAGTCAACAGTGTGCTCTTGTTGCCAAGAAGGCTAATGGCATTTTGGGCTGTATAAGTAGGGGCATTGCCAGCATATCAAGGAATATGATCATTCCCCTTTATTCGACATTAGCGAGGCCTCATCTGGAGTACTGTGTCCAGTTTTGGGCCCCACACTACAAGAAGGATGTGGAAAAATTGGAGAGAGTCCAGCGGAGGGCAACAAAAATGATTAGGGGGCTGGAGCACATGACTTATGAGGAGAGGCTGAGGGAACTGGGATTGTTTAGTCTCCAGAAGAGAAGAATGAGGGGGGATTTGATAGCAACCTTCAACTACCTGAAGGGGGGTTCCAAAGAGGATGGAGCTCAGCTGTTCTCAGTGGTGGCAGATGACAGAACAAGGAGCAATGGTCTCAAGTTGCAGTGGGGGAGGTCCAGGTTGGATATTAGGAAACACTATTTCACTAGGAGGGTGGTGAAGCACTGGAATGCGTTACCTAGGGAGGTGGTGGAGTCTCCTTCCTTGGAGGTTTTTAAGGCCCGGTTTGACAAAGCCCTGGCTGGGATGATTTAGTTGGGAATTGATCCTGCTTTGAGCAGGGGGTTGGACTAGATGACCTCTTGAGGTCCCTTCCAAC